TCAAGGGAACCTCGGTTTACTCTCCAGAGAAGGGTAGCTGGGTCGAGCTTAGTCCCCAGGACGTCTTGCAGATGCTTGGTCGTGCCGGTCGCCCGCAATTCGACACATACGGAGAAGGTATCATCATTACCACTCAAAACGAGATCCAGTACTATCTGTCACTTCTCAACCAACAATTACCGATTGAGAGTCAGTTCGTCAGTCGCCTAGTGGACAACCTGAATGCTGAGATCGTGCTCGGTAATGTCAGGAGCAGAGATGAGGGTGTCGAGTGGCTTGGCTACACGTACCTGTTTGTCCGTATGCTGCGGTCTCCAGGTCTTTACCAAGTTGGTGCGGAATATGAAGACGATGAAGCTTTGGAACAAAAACGAGTCGACCTCATCCACTCCGCGGCGACGGTCCTCAGAAAGTCAAATCTCGTCAAGTATGACGAGAAAACCGGAAGGCTCCAGTCAACAGAACTTGGTCGCATCGCGTCGCACTACTACATCACCCATGGTTCCATGGACACCTACAACAACCTCATCCAGCCGTCCATTACGACCATCGAGCTCTTCCGTGTCTTCTCGCTCAGCGCAGAATTCAAGTACATTCCAGTTCGCCAAGACGAGAAGCTCGAGCTTGCCAAGTTGCTGGGCAGGGTTCCCATTCCGGTCAAGGAGAGCATTGAGGAGCCTCACGCCAAGATCAACGTGCTTCTGCAGGCCTACATCTCACGACTCAAGCTGGACGGCCTTGCTCTTATGGCTGATATGGTCTACGTCACTCAGTCTGCTGGTCGTATCTTGCGCGCCATCTTTGAAATCACCATGAAGAAGGGATGGGCGTCTGTCGCGAAGACCGCACTGGACCTCTGCAAGATGGCTGAGAAGAGGATGTGGCCCACAATGTCGCCACTCCGCCAATTCCCCAGTTGTCCAAGGGATATTGTGCAAAAGTCGGAGAGAATTGAGGTGTCTTGGAGTAGCTACTTCGACCTCGATCCTCCTCGCATGGGTGAGCTTCTCGGTATGCCTAAGGCCGGTAGGACTGTCTGCGGGCTGGTTGCCAAGTTCCCCAGGGTTGAGGTACAGGCGCAAGTTCAGCCGTTGACCAGATCTATGCTTCGAGTCGAGCTCAGCATTACGCCCAATTTTGAGTGGGATGTTGAAGTTCACGGCCCCGCAGAGAGCTTCTGGGTTTTCGTCGAAGATTGCGATGGCGAGGATATCCTCTTCAGCGATCAATTCCTGCTTCGCAAGGAGTACGCTGAGTCCGAATCCAACGAGCACATCGTTGACTTTACGGTTCCGATCACGGAACCCATGCCTCCAAACTACTTCATTTCCGTCATCTCGGACCGCTGGATGCACTCGGAAACAAGACTACCCGTGTCCTTCCATAAGCTGATTCTGCCCGAGAGGTTCCCTCCTCATACCGAGCTTCTCGAGCTTCAGCCGCTGCCTGTTTCCGCCCTGAAGGTCAAGGAGTACACCAAGCTGTATCACAGTTGGGACAACTTCAACCGCATTCAGACACAAACCTTCAACTCTCTGTACAACACCGACCAAAACGTCTTTGTTGGTGCGCCAACAGGCAGTGGCAAGACTGTGTGCGCCGAATTCTCGCTTCTGCGTCATTGGTCTAAGCCCGAGGCTGGTCGCACCGTCTACATAGCACCCTTCCAGGAGCTGGTTGACTTGCGCCTGGATGACTGGCAGAAGCGACTGAATGGCTTGCGTGGCGGCAAGACTATCGAGAAGCTCACAGGAGAGACAACAACGGACCTGAAGATTCTGGAACGTAGCGACCTAGTCCTCGCCACCCCCGTTCAGTGGGACGTCCTGTCTCGCCAGTGGAAGCGCAGAAAGAATGTTTCAACCGTTGAGCTTTTCATCGCTGATGAGGCTCACCTTTTGGGCAATAACATGGGTTACGTCTACGAGATCATTATCTCGAGGATGCACTACATTAGAACTCAAACGGAGCTCCCCATGAGAATCATTGCTCTGGGTGTCTCTCTTGCCAACGCTCGCGATCTTGGAGAATGGATTGACGCTAAGAAGCATGACATATACAACTTCAGCCCGCACGTTCGTCCGGTTCCCCTTGAACTGCATATTCAATCATATACCAACCCTCATTTCCCTTCGCTGATGCTGTCAATGGCGAAGCCGACATATCTGGCCATCACTCAGATGTCTGCTGACAAGCCTGCCATTGTCTTCGTGCCGAGCCGAAAGCAGACGCGAGCCACTACCCGTGATTTGCTGACAGCGGCGTTTATGGATGACGATGAGGACCGCTTCTTGCACGCTGAGCCCGAGCAATTACGACCCCTCCTTGAGCGTATCAACGAGGAGGCACTTGCTGAGGCCCTTTCCCACGGTGTTGGGTATTACCACGAGGCCTTGAGCCAGAGCGACAAGCGTATCGTCAAACATCTGTATGAGCACGGTGCGATCCAGGTTTTGGTTGCTTCCCGTGACGTATGCTGGGAACTGAACAGCACTGCTCATCTCGTCATTGTCATGGGCACGCAATACTTCGAGGGTCGTGAGCACCGTTACATCGACTACTCCCTCAGCGAGGTGCTTCACATGTTCGGCAAGGCCCTTCGCCCCTCCAAGGACGGCAGAGGCCGTGGCGTCCTCATGCTTCCAGCAGCGAAGAGAGATTTCTACAAGAAGTTCCTGAACGAAGCGCTCCCCGTCGAATCACACTTGCATAACTACCTCCACGACGCGTTTGTGACCGAGATCAGCACCAAGATGATTGAATCTGGTGACGATGCCATCAACTGGACAACGTTCACATACTTCTACAGGCGGCTTCTCGCGAACCCAAGCTTCTACAGTTTGACCAGCACGACAGAAGAGGGACTCAGCGACTACATGTCAGACCTCATCCAGACCACCTTGCAAGAGCTGAGCGACTCCAAGATCATTGAGCTTGACGAGGACGATGGTTCAGTCGCCCCTCAGAATGCAGCCATGATTGCCGCCTACTACAACATATCCTACATCACCATGCAGACATTCCTTCTATCGCTGAGCGCAAAGACAAAGTTGAAGGGTGTCTTGGAGATTATCACGTCAGCTACCGAGTTCGAGGCGATCCAGATCAGGAGACATGAGGAGGGTATCCTCCGCCGCATCTACGACCGCATCCCCGTCAAGATGTCAGATCCTGTTTACGACTCGGCGCATTTCAAGTCGTTCGTTCTCCTTCAAGCACACTTCTCTAGGATGCAGCTGCCAATCGACCTTGCGAAGGACCAAGAGGTCATCATTTCCAAGGTGCTCAGCCTGCTGAGCGCCACGGTTGACATTCTCTCATCGGATGGTCACCTCAACGCCATGAACGCCATGGAGATGTCACAGATGGTTGTGCAGGCCATGTGGGACCGTGACAGCCCCTTGAAGCAGATTCCTCATTTCACGCCTGAGGTCGTCAAGGTGGCCAATGAATTTGGGTATGTACCAGTATCACCAATGAAGATTTGCGACGCTAACTCTGATCTTCTCTCCAGTATCAAGGACATATTTGACTTCATGGAGGCGATGAACCCCGAGGAGAACCCTGACTATGCCAAGTTGATCAAACGTCTTGGGCTTAGCCAGAACCAACTGGCCCAGGCTGCGGCGTTCACCAACGACAAGTACCCTGACATTGAGCTTGAACACAGCATCTTGGACGAGGAGGATATCAGGGCCAATGAGCCTGCTTATCTCAGTGTGCAGATCCAGCGCAACGTCGATGAAGAGGAGGAATTCGACCCCACTGTGCATGCGCCGTTCTACCCGGCCAAGAAGCTGGAGAATTGGTGGCTAGTCGTGGGCGAAGAAGGCACGAAGAACCTGCTCGCAATCAAGCGTGTCACGATTGGCCGCGAGCTCAAGGTCAAGCTGGAGTTTACAGTCCCGACAGCTGGTAAGCATAACTTGAAGTTGTTCCTAATGAGCGACAGCTATGTCGGAGTGGACCAGGAGCGCGAGTTCTCCATCGAAGCCGCGGAAGGCATGGACGTGGACGATAGCGACGAGGAAGAAGACGATGAGTAGATTGCCCCCCGAGTTGGGCAGAGGCACGCCATCAGTACGAGATCTCTATGTGTACAATATTCGGGCGAGAGGAGTTTGAGGAGGTAATAGACAATTTTCGAACAAAGTCGGATCGTCTTCTCGCTGGCGGCAAACCACGGGCAACTCTTGTCCTCATTCGACAGGGTTGAGTCGCCTGATGTCCGGTTGCGCAGACTGTGTGCGGTGCGACAGTAGTTTCGGAGGGTGGTGCTTCAGTGGTCGAGTTGGCGGGCGGATCCCGGACATAGTTGCTCAACCAGGACTATCACGCGGACGAGACTTCTACCGATTCGGATGGACATGGACAGCATGAAGAAAGTCAAAAAAAAAAAAAATATGAGGGACCAGGTTACCGTCGTCCGTGATTCTTGGGCTCAATAGGGCACATAGCGTGTTGTGAGATGCCTAGGAAAGGTACTTATGTCAAGGGGGAAGGGGTGGCTGTGTTGTGATTATGATGGGCTGGGCGCTGGGAGGTGGACGTGGACGGTGGCATTGACCGGGCCACACACGCCCGGCGAGCGTCACGTCCCTCTACACTACTCACCGCACTGCAACTGAGACTCCGCGATTTCACTCGTTCCCTGTGGATCAGCAGCACCTGGTCACCACCCGGTCACGTGTTCGCCGTCATCCGCGTCCAACCTCCAAGAGTTTCTGCGTTCATCTTTTTCCAGCCCGTCGTCTTTTTTTCGCTACCACAACACGGGGAGCTCCCAATTGCGCTCATCATCTTCAGCTCAGCCAGCTTATCCCGCACCATCCTCGCGACATCCATAATCACGAATCGCGCGTATCAGAACGCGTCTTTCTCCCTTTGACCCATCGCAACCAATCTTTGGCGTCGCGACTCCCCTGTCCAAAACCCCAATCCCTACCTTACATACATACCACCTGCCACCATTATCAGTAGCTATCGCCACATCCCCCGAAATGTCTGACGAGGCGACCACCAGCGGCCAATCCGCGCCTGCTGCGAACGAGGAGGTGGAAAAGAAGGTTGAGGAGACCTCGACCGCGGCTGAAGCTTCTGAGGCGCCTGCAGCTGCTGCTGATGACGCGAAACCCGCCGAGTCTGAGGAAGCTGTCAAGGACGACACCGACAAGGACAAGAAGGAGGACCCCAAGCCCGAGAACGGTACGCGCCACCTTTTTCTTCCCTCTGAGCCATTGGGTCTCAAACTCAGACTCAACTCTACATACACGTCGCTATCATCATCGCGCAATTGAATAGCTTGCTGACGCATTTGTTATCGAACAGCTGAGACTAAGGACGCGGAATCTGCCGGCAAGCCTGACGAGTCATCCAAAACCGAAGACGCCGACGTCGAGATGACAGATGCAGCCGAGACGAAGGAGATGTCGGCGCCTGTCGCTGACGCGGAGAAGGAATCTGCTGCTGACGCCGCCGATGCGACAGCTGACAAGGGCAAGGCGCGTCGCAGATCGTCGGGTGTCCCGGAGCACAAGGGCAAGAAGCTCAGCAAGAAGGCCTCCAAGGCCAAGCTCTCCCACAAGGACGCGAAGCCTGGCGACCACTTCTTGGTGAAGCTCAAGGGATACCCCCAATGGCCCGTCATCATTTGCGACGAGGAGATGCTTCCCGAGACCCTCATCAAGACTCGCCCTGTCACTGCGAAGCGTGCCGATGGCACATATCGTGAAGACTACGCCGACGGTGGCAAACGAGAGAACGACCGCACGTTCCCCGTCATGTATCTTCGCACGAACGAATTGTGAGTCCAATACCCCACTCAGCTCCCCAAACCTTCGTGTTAGGATGTGTAGCTGATATGGTGTCGACAGTGGTTGGGTCCCCAACTCTGCCCTTCAGGAGCTCACCTCGGAGAAGGCGTCCGAGATGCTCACCGACAAGATCAAAAAGGCCGAGTTGCGCGACGCATTCGAGCTCGCAATCGAGCAGAACCCTCTCGAGCACTACAAGGAAGAACTCCAAAAGTACCAGGACGAACTGGCTCAGAAGGCAGCTGCCAAGGAAGCCAGAGAAGCTGCTAAGAAGAACAAGAAGAAGGCCCCGGCCATCATTGAGGATGAGGACGTCGACATGGAGGATGCGGCTGATGAGGAGGTTGCCCCTACACCGAAGGAAAAGTCAAAGACCAAGAAGCGCAAGGCTGAAGATGAGGCGGCCAGTGTGAGTATTTGTTCCATTGCTCACAGGCATAAATAAACTGACAATTCGGTAGACCCCAGCGCGAACCGAGTCGGCTAAGAAGCCCAAGATCAAGCTTAACACCTCTTCTACGCCCAAAGCAACAAATGGGACTGCCACCCCCAAGTCTGTCAAGGACTCCGCCTCCAAGCCTGCGAAGACCAAGTCGTCCAAGAAGGATGGTGCCGAGAAGAAGGAGAAGGAAGCCCCCAAGGAGCCTGAGCTGACTGCTGAGGAGAAGCATCAACGCAAGGAAGTAAGTTGGAATTTTGACTTCATGCCCTTCGTGTTACACGACTTACACGTTCAACAGAAAGAAGTACTGTTCCTACGTCACAAGTTGCAAAAGGGCCTCCTTACGAGGGATCAAGAGCCCAAGGAGGAAGAGATGAAGATGATGTCGGATTACATTACGAAGCTTGAGAGTTTCCCGGATCTTGAGGTCTCTATCATCCGGGCTACGAAGATCAACAAGGTTCTCAAGGCTATTATGAAGCTCGACTCTATTCCCAAGGAGGACGAATTCAAGTTCAAGAGTCGATCCCAGACTCTGTTGGACAAGTGGAACAAGATTCTCAGCGGCGGCGATGCTGGAGGCTCTGCCACACCAGCTCCTACCAATGGCGTCAATGGTACTTCTGGAAAGGCTGCACCGGAGACGAAGGAGACACCTGCTGCGTCCAACGGCGTCAAGGAGAGCAAGGAGGCCGACAAGTCCGAGGAGGCCAGCAAAGAGGCTAAGGACGAAAAGGACGACAACAAGTCCGATAAAGACAAGACGTCCGAAGAACCTGAAAAGGCGGAGGAGAAGGCCGAGAAGTCTGAGAAGGCTGATGAGTCCGCTGAGAAGCCAGCTGAAGAGGTATGAGGCGATGTCTCACCAATCACGACGACGGAAGCTAACCCAATTCGTAGTCGGCACCTGCGCCCCCGGAACCGGTTGAAGCCAAGGCTTAGGGATCCCGTTCACGTCGCAGATCTCCTCGAGAGTAGAGACATGGGCTCAGCAATAAATCTGGGCTATATGGGCTATCGTGGCCTGGCCACTTGCGTTTCCTGGCGTATACGGTTTTCCTCAATCGCAAAAGCGGTACTTTGTCTTGGTTATGGTGTAAAATTACTCGTCTCTCGTCTTTTAGCGGTGCGGTTGGGAGCGTTACATGGCAGGCACCTGCGGCAATCCCGCAGACGGCGCGCGCTTTAGTCCTAGGGGAGGGTTCGGTGTACAGAGATGGTAAGGAGGCTATACGGTGACAAGGGGACCCGATCCAAACAGGACATATCAGGCATGCCTTTGATGGTCTGCAAAACCGCTTCAAGTTATGATGATGTAGGATGGCACAGGCCCTGATTTTGGAGATGGAACGGAAGTCATCAGGTCCTTGTTTTGCGAAAGCGAGGGAGAGACGAGACTGGTAGTCGTTATTTCCACACGGCCTAAGGGTATTGGATCTATGTTACTTATTAGGGAAAATCGATCAGAAAGCACGCATCATGAAAAGGCTGTGATAATTATGCTGGTGAGGATTGTAGCAACGAGGGTTGCTGGCCGTAGACTTCCTTGCACTGTGAGGTCGCCGCGGTGTGACATCAACTACACAGTGCGTTTATAGTCTGGTACATGGTATCTGTCTGTGCTCCCTCGTCCGACTCGACGCGTGCCACTCGGAAAAGCGCGTCTCAGTTCCATCAGTGACATACTACGCCAACGAAGTGCAAGCCTAATCCCCTACAAGATGAGCGCACAAGACGATCAAACATCTCATTTTCACCAAGAGGATCACCAGGTAAGCTCTTCTGTCGAGTTGACTCGTCCTGTGTGCTGACCCGTCCCTTTGAGGCGGCCTATATCTTCCGTCCACAGGGAGAGGAAGGCAAGCCACAACGGCCAGCCAAAAGGCAGCGGGTATCAAAAAATGCCGTCAATGAAGAAGCGAACAATGCCATTGCAACGACATTCGTGCCATCATTGAATGGCGGCGAGCTCGCGGAGTGCGTACGAATACGCGAAAAGTTATTCGAGTCCAGCTGGTCCCGATTAGAGTCCAAGGTCCAGGTACGCAACCCCTAACTTTTAGCACTATTGTCTTCATCTGACCCGAGTCCCAGAAAATCTTGCGTGATGTGAATTTGGCTACGCTAGAACAAGTGACTGCTTTCATTCAGGAGCAGACAGACACACCGTGAGTCTTCGCCAACATGGCAATTCAGTTGCTTGTATCTAACGCGGACGGTAGAAGCAAGATTCCTACCGCCTTCGTCATCACTGGGCCCAATATTGCATCTCAGGATTTGCTATTTGAGCAGCTATCAGAGACGCTTCAAGAGACTACCCGAAGCAAGTTCGTGAGACTCAAGTCGTCCGAGGCATCCAACATCAAGGCTGCCCTAAAGAAGATTGTTGAAGATGCCACATCTCGTGGGTCTCTTGATGACGAAGATGCCGAGCTGGCGTTTGAAGTGAGTCTCAAAACTTTTAGGCAGACCAAAGAGATACTGATGAAAGACGCAGGGCCGAAAGTACCTAAATTACGACCTGGAGGGTCTGTATGTCTTCTCGAAAACACAGCAGTGCGATCACATATTTGTCGCGTTCCAAGACAGTGAGGGTTTTGACAGCGCTCTTCTGTCGGATCTCATTACCCTCTTCAAGTGCGTCTTTTCCTCATGTCAGTCTCGAAGCAGACCCTAACAGTTACATTAGCTCGTGGCGACCCAAGATCCCGTTCACTCTGCTGTTCGGTGTTGCGACATCCGTCGAACTCCTCCAAGCTCGTTTACTCAAATCAGCCTGTCAACACCTCTACGGCGCTCAATTCGATGTCGTGCAGACCGGTACCATTCTTGAGCAAATTTTTAAGCCCACCATCGCGGCAACGGACGCAGCCCTAACACTCGGTCCGAACTTGCTGCAAAGCTTGGTAGACAGGCAGCAAGACCAGGTCGCCAGTATCCAGACTTTTGTTGCATCCATCAAGGTGAGAACTAGTCCATCTCAATGATCCCGAACCGGAATTAATTCGGGTAGTACGCGTATATGTGCCATTTTTACGCCAATCCGCTAAGCGTCTTCTCGCTGGAGGACGACGAGATGAATAGCGAGCTTGTCCAGGGCGACCATTTGGAGGCTTTCCGATCGCTCCCTTCGTTCCGACGCGAGGTCGAGAACGCCGTTGAAGCAAAGGATCTAAGATTAGCGAGGTCGTTACTAGAGGACGATGAGCTGCTACGGGAAAGGATCTTTGACATTCCTGACAGAAAACGGGAATGGGCCACCGGTCTACTTCGCTCGCTTAAGCTGATCCAGGCTACCGGAGCAGTCCAGGACGACTTTTCTCAAATGTTCATGAAAGCGGTGTCCGACGGCATCGCCCTTTCGTCCGAGAGCTGGGACATTGTTGAAAGCATCAAGCGGATGCAAGCGGACGACTTTGTCTCGATGCTGCAACGGGTCCAAACAACCGTAGCGACCGGCGATGACCAGCTATGTCTCACCGCCTGGGAATCCGAGGCCGGGGACCTTCCGGCAATTGTAAAGAAATGTCTGGCCGAGTCCAAGGAGCTGCTCAGCAGAGCCCAGGAGGACGGCACCAACTTGCGGAGCGCGTACAGTGGTCACAGTAGGGTGCTTCGTACAACCGTCGTCGCGCAAAAAGTGCAGCTGAGCCACGATTCGGCCGCTCTCTCTGAGGACGACAAAGCATTCACCAGAATTGTCGACCAGATTGCGGAGCTTTTCGAGGACGTCATACGATGCGAACCCGCCGCAAGTGTTTTCTTACACGAGACATGGCTCTATGATTTCAAGACACCCCATCGGGATCTTTTCGTCCCGCGACCCCAGGACGTTTTTGAGCGCAGCCTAACCCGACCCCAGGACTACCTCGCCTGTGCTTGCTGCACTACCGACGAAGGACTATCTACAACACTTCCCGCAACGTGTTTGCTTTACCATCTCTACTTGGAGACGGGCAACCTCATCAACGTCGCCGACTTGTGGTCCGCCTTCTATGCCATGGTGGGCAGCGGCGGCGGTGACGACGCTGAGGATAGCGATGGAAACGCCGATGAGAGGGCAGCGCTGATGCTCTTTTATCGGGGTCTGGCGGAGCTAAAGGCCCTGGGCTTTGTCAAGATGAGCAGAAAGAAGACGGACCACATCGCCAAGCTCAAGTGGCTGTAGGAGCTCAAAGGGGATTCCGCGACGACGGCCTAGAAAGCGTGAAACGAAGGTCGTGGTGCGGGAAGGCACGTCAGTCGCGTGGTCAGGGGAAAGAATCAAGCGAAAAGACGAGTTCTACTTAATGGGAATTTGTCAAGGTGAGGCCAAAGCAAGCATTTCTTACATCTTTGAGGATAGATAATTTTTATTCAAATCAAACAAGCAAGACGATGCGTGCTTGCCCCCCGAGAAATCCCCATCTTTTGAATAAATGTCAATGACTCAGATGACTCAGATGACTCAGATGGATGTCGGCATTCTTCAGTGTCTTCAGTGTCTTCAGCTGTGTTCTTGAACAAGGCTATTGTCTTCTGGACACTTCTTTGTTCCCGTTGGCCAGACCACCACGGAACCGGTGTGCTCAGCCTCCACCTCAGACAAATTCCGCTGTCCGTCCGCGGGCTGCCGAAAGCACGGAGTTCGTAATTGCCGTCCAGAGCGAGGGAGAGGGGGGAGGGAACGGGAGGGGAGGGAGGAAGAGCGGAAAGGGCCAGAGGAATCATGTCTCGGATGCTCCACGTTGGGGCCGGAGGCGTATCTAGTTGCGTCCGGCGCGCGACTCGTTTCTGGGACACCCGGGACACTCGTAGAGTGAGAGGAACAGCGTAAATCGCACCAAAGAGAAGTCGTCCCCTCCCCCCGCTCCGCGCCATGTCTCAAGTTACTTTGGCGCATCGAGCGAGATAAAGAGAGACATAGGGGAAGGAATCCGGCTCTCTGGGTCATCTGGCAAACTGAGTTCGGGGGCGGCGCGCCCCCTTTGGCCTGATTTACACAGTATGGACGGCCTCTGGCCGCCGACGGGACAAAGCATTCTTGTCTCTCCTGACGTATTAGTCCTGCCGCAGCTTATGTTCGGGTCCCAGTCGCTCGGGTCGCTGGCTTCGCCTTCAACGAAACGAGAGACGCGAGGGCCTGGATCTCCAGTTTTTGTGTTTGACAGTTTTTTTTTCTGCCCTCCCTCTTTTCGATATCGTCTCTTTGGGGTTATTTGTTTTGTCTCGCAAAGGAGAGTTGTTCGGTCAAAGAAACGAAGAACGGCGGGACGGGTGGTGGGGGAGCGTGGGCTTGGAATCCCTCCCATACAAGAAGCAGAGAGTCTCGCTCTAGTCGTTGACGATGAACAGTCTCGATATCTCGATCTCATCTTTCTAATTCAAGCCTTCGATACCCATAGAACACTCACCGTTATTCTGCTCTGATTCCAAACGTTCTTTCTCCTTCCTGTGCAGGCCTTAGAATACTCCCACCGAAGCCTCTGCCTATCTAAGAATACTCTACTAGAGGAACCGTATCCAAGCTGAAATACGCTAGTCTGTTCTCACGAAGATCCTCATCACCGAGACGCCTCCATATTTTGATCTCATCTTGAATCTCGTTGAATATCTTTCAAGCCGAAACACCTCTTCATTTATCGACGACAACCTCCCCAAAACTTGACTCATTGATACGTCAACTTCTACGAGAAAACAAGTCCTTTGAGAGGAAAGCCCAGTACATCGTGTTGAACAGGTCTTTTGGGAGAAAGGAGAAAAAGTAGAGGAATCACGCGCCAAAACAAAAGCCACGATGGCAACCAGACACCACCACACAACCAACGGAGGCATTGGCAACCGTCGGGCTGGACGCAACGCCGGGTTCCAGGAAAAGATGCGCCAGATGCGTCTGCCTTTGGTCCCTCTCGTCCAGATGTCGACGGGAGCTATCCACCCAGAATTTCCCGCGACACTGCTCAACTTCTGGCTCTTGACTGAGGCCCAGTTGGACGACCTTGCCCGCTTCTACCACCAGAAGACTCCCTCGCCCTGGTCGGCATCGTACCCTTGTCCCATCACATGGAAGTCCGGTCTCACGCTTGAGGAGAAGAGAAGAAAGATTGGAAAGTTCATCGGTCTTAGGTACGTCGAATTCGACTACACTCGGGATGTCGTCTACTACGACCCCCGAACGTCGTCTACACACCCTCCCCGCCCCCGCCCTTACTCGGAGAACATGTGCTGATCAACGTTTTACCACAACAGAGGCTGCGATACGCCAATTCGCATACGCATCAAGACTGAGGAGCAAATCATGGAGGAGGCGCGGCAGGCGAGATTAGCAGAGGATGATGAGGCTATGAGGAGAAAGATGCCGTGGTACTCATAGATTTACTATGAACCAGATCTGCATAGAGCTGTGGATGCATTTTGCTTTGAAGTCTTTTGTTGCTTTTTCTTGCATGGCACTGCGTTGATATCAATCACATAGCACATTTAGGCGTTGGAGACGGATGGGTACATGACAATAGAGATAGACCCCACCAATGGGCAACTACCGGTTTGATCTGGTAAAAGAGCAACGACAACCGATATATTTATAGACTCCCAAATAATTCATGATGACCAGTACGATTCCCGTGTAACCCTGAACGCCGAACGCAACCAGACAGCCGTTGTATGCTTTGATCCTCGCCGTTTGTTGTATCATACACGGGGGTGGGTAATGAGGTATCTAGTGACGAGGGGTAGGATGCGAGAGAGGACCTTTGAGCCTGCCCAAGGCACAGATATTAGAGTTGAGTGGAGGAGGAGAATACGCGTAGTGTTTATTTCTTGCCCTTCTTCTTCTTGGAGGGCGTGCTAGTGGTTGAGTCAACAAGAACGGCATCGCCGTCAACACTGGGTGGGGCAGTTGAGTTCTTCTCGGACTCGTCAAGCTCCTTCATGAACTCGGTTTGAATGTTCGCCCTGCGCTTCTCCCACCACTCCTTCTCCTGGTCGACGGTGTTGGCGACCTCCTCGAGGCGGTTGCGCACAATGGTGTTGGCGGCGATCTCGTTGGCGGACTGGAAAATGGACTGACCCCAGTTGGGGGCGAGGGCGTTGGCCTAAGTCGAGTTAGTCATGCGATGTCTGCGCGCTCTGAACCTGATATACGGACCTCCATCACGACGTCGCGGAGCTCGTCCTCCATTTCCTTCTCGGCGCGCTGGAAACGCTGCCACAAGTCATCACCGACGCTTCCCCGCTGCAGCAACGTGCTGCAGGCCTGCTTGGCGGAACGGATCTGAACAAGCCGGTGGATGTCCTCAACTGCGCGGCGGAGAAGCGCGGCACGGATGACGCTGTCGGGGATCTTGGGGGTCTTCGCCTTCTCCTGGCCCTCCTCGGGGGATCCGATGTGCAGGAGGGACAGGTAAAGGTTGCGCTGCAAATGTTCGGGGAACCAGGGAGCGAGATTGGCGCTTTGGGCTAAAAGTGAGAAAAGAACAGGTCAGCAGTGTGTTTCCGTATTGTGCGATCGCGCGTATTGCGGAATCGCGGGTGGAGGGCCGTGGAAGACACATACTCGCTTTCCGTTGTCTGTAGATCTTGGAGAAGGTCATGAAAACGCCGCCGAGGACCAAGAGGTAGGCGAAGGGGAGCACTAGGCCCAACCAGTCTATTTCGAACATGACTGCTGCTGCTGTGGCGAAAATCGTGCGCTCGTAAGGATCGTGGCAGAAAAGTGAAGAGGTCGAACGAGGGACAAAGAAATTGGTGGTGTTTGAAGGCGGATGCTCTCTGGCCTGGAGGTTCAGTTGATGCAGCGTGTCCAATTACAATATGACAGCTTGGTCGCAATGGACACTTTTTTGGCTGCCCACCCAGGGTCAAAGATGACCCGCTGCTTTTACTGGACGACGGGATGCGGACCATCCATGTCACCTTGCAAAGCAAGCTGGAAAAAAATACCTATACTTTGCGACAGTGTATAAACACTATTTCACTTCAAGATGTAGGGGAAAGCTTAGATATATCAAAAGCACCCCCCCAAATGCTTTACCATTCAAAGCCATTATGGTCGAGCTTGAGCGTCTTCTTGACTCGACGGAAGCATGTGGTAAAGCAGCGCGGAAATCACTGACCCTAGTATAGTCGCAAGGTGGCACAAGGGACAAGGGTACCTTTTGTTGGTCCAAGCATGGCAAGTGTGGCTGCATTGCTCAATTGCTCTTTCCTCTCACTCGCGTTGCTTGGTCTCCTTTTTTCTAGTTGTGCCGTGCAGCTATAATCATCATGCTATCCTCAACTCCTAAGGTTCTCAGAACTTCGCTCTTTGAGCACTTCTCTTCTCGCTCTTTCTCTTCTCGTTCTTCTGCTTCTCGTGCTTTTACTCCTCGATTCCAACCACAGCGACTCCCGGCGCGTCGTTTCTATTCTTCTGAGCCCCCCAAGAAGCCATCTGGTGTCAAGTTCTGGCCTTTCCTTGCTGTCGTCATTGCAGGAAGCGGTGCTTACAAGCTCCTCGTTGACCAAAGAGCCGGTGAGTGGATGCCCTTTGTTCTTATGCAGCTTACCTGTCCACACCTGCATACACCAAAACCTACCCATTCCCAAGTCTCGTCAATCTACGAGGAAATCAACTAATAGACTCACCTTTCAGAAATGGCGTCCCTCCCCGCCCCCGAAGCTTCCAAACAGCTGCCCTCCCCGAAAAAGTCCACACCTACCTTCTCCCCCGATGAAGTAACCGTTCTCTTCGTCCTTGGCGGTCCCGGCGCCGGCAAGGGCACCCAATGCGCCAGGCTCGTCTCCGACTACGGCTTCACTCATCTTTCTGCTGGCGACCTCCTCCGCGCCGAGCAGGACCGTCCCGGCTCGCAATTCGGCCAGCTGATCAAGGACTACATCAAGGACGGTCTGATCGTCCCGATGGAGGTCACTGTGCAGCTGCTCGAGAACGCCATGACGGAGACTATCAAGACCACCGGCAACAAGCGATTCCTCATTGACGGCTTCCCGCGCAAGATGGACCAGGCCGTCAAGTTCGAGGAGGCGGTGTGCCCCGCCAAGCTCGTGCTTTTCTACGATTGCCCCGAGGACGTCATGGAGGGACGCTTGCTGGAGCGCGGCAAGACGAGTGGACGCGCCGATGACAATGCCGAGAGCATCCGCAAGCGTTTCCGCACATTTGTCGAGACGTCGATGCCTGTCGTTGACTACTTTGCCAAGGAGGGTCGCGTTGTGAAGCTCGATGCGACGCCCCCGCCGGCGGATGTCTACTCCAAGACTCGCTCAGAGCTGTCCAAGAGGCTTGGAATTTGAACTCGAGATGCTTATAGAAGACTTGAACGTGGTTAAATGGTCGAATTTCCCACCGGTTGTCATTCCTTTTGGTCATGGTGCTGAGGAGCAGTAGACTTGTCCACTTGGACAGCATCTGCAAAGGGGCTGATGGAAAGGCTACAATACAATGCGTTGAGAGTAAGATAGTTACTTTGTAGGTTTTGTGTTAACAGAATTATCCTAGACTTGTCAAAGGGCTATAGCCATACAAGTGGTTTGTATTATTTCATTATCCTTGTATTCATCATTTGAGGTGCGACCGTTTAGATGTAACGTAAGAATACTTGAGCTTTCAGTGCTTCGTAAGGTACGCAAGTACCTAGGTATGGGGAGCTTACCTATCGTATGGACGTGGAACCGCCAACTAACCACCCCTGCTGGGTGCGGTGAATAAGCTCTACCAAGGGGCAAGGTCTGCAGCACGCTGAATTTGAGAGGTGTGCCCCCCACCTCCGTCGTTTTACCGGACCCACTATAAGGCACCACCTTTGATGACGCTGTTGGCGGTGCGTTCCACCACTTAATCAGTGGGACATCAAGTCCAAGAGCTCTCTCTTCACATCCCACTTACCAAAAGCTACCTCGGGCAACTTTCCACAAGCTTCCCTTGACCACACCTCCTTTCCTGAGTTCAAGACCACACAAAACGGCAAGTAGCAAAGGAATGGGCTCTTGCTAGAGAGATTCTACATTATATATTTTCCTGCCTTTTCTTCTCCGTACCTCTCCCGATCTGAGATCTCACACAACCCTGCACGGCCTCGCATCCCTCGCCCAAGATGCTTCTCAGACTCCGAGGGCCCGATGGCATGAGCCGCCTGACCATCGACAAGGACGAGACCTTCGGCGAGGTTGGACGTCAGGTACGATGTCTTAAATAAGCTACCGAATACTGATCTAATTCTTCTAGCTGATTCCGAACCTTCCAAAGACGGTCGACTCCAGCACCATCACTCTATCTAACGCCCCCACTGGCGGCGATGCTAAGAAGCTCGTCGATATCACGAACTTCAAGATTGGACAGATTGGACTGAAGTAGGCCCATGCGTGATATTCAAGCTCGAGATCATATTCTGACACAGGCAGGCACGGCGACCTCATCTTTATCAACTACCAGCACCAGGACAGTCTCTCAAATGGCGCGACCAATGGCACCCAGCCGACGTCCCATCCTCTCGCGTCCTCGAACCGTCTCAACGGAAAGCCCATCCTCCCCACCGAAGACCTCCCGATCGATCCTCCTCCGGTGACTTCACCCTCCGAAAAGATCAAAAACCCCTGGGAAGTCGTTAAGCAGCACCCTCTCGACGACCGCTTGGACAAGAAGGATGGCAAGATTCCGAGAAAGCGTGACAAAATGTGCCGCCACGGCGAGAAGGGCATGTGTGATTACTGCATGCCCTTGGACCCATTCAACGCCAAGTATCTGGAGGAGAAGAAGATCAAGTACTTGTCATTCCACTCGCACCTACGAAAGATCAACTCCGCCACGAACAAACCCGAGCTGGGTAGCTCCTTTATTCCTCCTCTGGTGGAGCCATATTTCAGAGTCAAGCGCGACTGTCCATCCGGCCATCCGCTGTGGCCCGAGGGCATCTGCACCAAGTGCCAGCCTAGCGCCATTACTCTTCAACCCCAGCCATTCCGCATGGTCGATCACGTCGAGTTTTCGTCGCCCAACATCATCGATAGTTTCATTGACGCTTGGAGAAAGACAGGAGGCCAGCGACTAGGTTACATGTACGGCAGGTATACCGAGTACGAAGTCGTGCCACTTGGTATCAAGGCAGTTGTGGAGGCCATCTACGAGCCACCTCAAGTGGACGAACTTGACGGAATCTCCCTGAACGGCTGGGAAAATCAGAAGGATATTGACGATGTCGCAAGACTGTGCGGTCTGCAAAAGATTGGCGTCATTTGGACAGACCTTCTGGATGCGGGCGCTGGTGACGGATCGGTGGTGTGCAAGAGGCACGCGGATTCTTACTTCTTGTCTTCCCAAGAAATCTGTTTCATTTCACGTTTGCAGGCCCAGCACCCGAAGTCCACCAAGTGGAG